CACGTTTGCCAAATATGCTTACAGCACCCATAAGAATACTGGGAAGAGCAGAGGCAAGACCACTGAGTGCTTGTTGACCAATATGTTCCCAACTAAAAGTAAATAAAAGTAGACTTGAATTTAGCGCAATGCTTTTTCTTACTTTATGCGCATTTGAGAAACTTCAGGTACAAATTGAGTAACAAGTTGTTGAATAGCTTGAGCTACATTGGGCAGACTCCAATGGTTACCAGCAGCTGAAAGAACAGTGCTGAAGAATTGTTGTTGTAGTTGATGAAATTTGTCATTGCTCAAGAATTGATGAATTTGTGGAATGAATTGATCCAATGAAAGTTTATCGAACAATGAAAGTACATCAGCTAGACCAGCACGAGCTTCAGTTGCTTCACGTTTGCCGAGTAAATTTATTAGGAAACCTGGTAGTTCATGTACGGCTGCGTTAGTAACTTGTGTAAGAAGGGCATGAAAATCACCGCGAGCTTGTGGTTTCGAGCCAAGAAATTGTTGTAGTACTGGTCGTAGTTTGTCTCTGATTGAATTGAAATCAAGATTACCTCCAAGTTGGGTTATAACTACTTGAGTGAGTTTTTCTTTCAGGGATTGCAATTCAACTGATGATAGAATGTCAGCAATCTGTGGAAGAATTTCGTCCAGTTGGGCAAGGAAGTTCTGGAAAAGAAGTAGATGGTTGAGTTCAAGAACTGATCTGCTTGATAAAATTATTTACCTGTATTTGCGGAAATAAGGAGGTCAATGCATTCAAATTGTTTAATTGAGGAACAACAAGTTGGCATTGCACAAACGCAATACTGACAAGCACAAGAGCCAAGGTAGCCAAAAGACGCATTTCAACAAGTGCCTACACGACGTGAGGATAAAATAGAATCTGTTAGCTTTCGATCACTTATATACATCCATTGTTATCTATCTTGACTTTCACAAGTGAGCATCGGTTTATTTTCACACACCCTCATGTGATGTTTTTTATTATTTTTTTCACATCATTGAGAAACGTATTTTTACAAAAAAAAAAGAGTCTAATGTGGGAGAAAATAGTTCCAATCAAGCCAACGAAGTCGTAGAGCCAATTCAGAATGAGACCATTTTGGAGACCGAGCGATATATTCATGCGCCATTAAAGATGTACGGGCAAGGCCATCGAGAAATTCAATATAAGCGAGAGCCAAGCGAAGAGTGTCGATTTTTGAGAGACGTTTCTCATACGGAAATCTTGGAATATGTGAACGAAGTTCAGCAAAAGCTGCATTTAAATGAGATAATCGGCGATCGGTCATTTTGCTAGTAGAGAAATTTAGTTATGCCTACTAAAAAGAAAATAAGAAAGTGAATAAGGAACATTGCTTACACAGCATGGTATATTTCAATTCAAGTTCAAACAACATACCCGTAGTCGTTGTCTTTCTAGAATGGAAGCTTGTTTCTTTTTCCTCACAACATTCACTGTCTTTCTTGTGGCATTGTTGAACGAGCTTTTCTTCTCTCTCTTCTCTTTTAATGAAACTATCACTTGCAGACAATGGAAGAGAAAAGAGATTTCTTTTTTTGACATGAAAATAATTAGGAAAAAATGAAAAAAATTTTAATATAATTTTTCGACATGTGAGCTCTCACGATAAATCCTCGTCAAAAGTATAGTAAACTTATTGAATTAATCAAATGATTTTTATTGATACTCTTCGAAAGTATAAAGCAAGCAAACATTGAAAATGCTCGATCATTGTCAACATCGATAGTGTTTTGTTCATATGTTTATGGAAATTTTTGAAATGAATATACGATTGACATTTAAAATTGGTCTTGTTTTTTCTTGTGAGGATAATGAAAGTTACCATTCTCCAAGTAGTCCGTTTGCATTATCAGCAAAATGATTTTATAAATATATTTTTCGTCATATGTTGATTAAAAAACAATATATGCTTTTATTTGATTTTATTCTGCGAAAAATAGTCATATTGAACAATGAATTATTGCCATTAATTTCATCGATTGAAGAAAGTTAAATATTTGTATCATTCAACATTTAACAGGTAATTGTCATGTTTCCTGGCAATCAATATCACGACATACATATAAATTTACGGAAGTCATAGACAAAAATATACTACTACAATTTATATTGTTGAAGAATTTATATAATAGGATCGTACGTTGGAATTAACTATAGTCAAACTATACAATAATAAAATCTGTTTTAAAAGATTTTATCATAAATTATGCTCTTGTTTAATAGATTTGACTGAGGAAATATTAATCGAGCGAGACAAGTGTTCAATTCTTTTAGCAAAAAATAAATGGCATGTCTAATTTTTTTATTTATTCTTCAGATAATGATCGTTTAATTACATATTTATATTGAAGATATACTTTTTGATTATTTAGTCTGCTTGATGATTTTTCAGTCTCTTAGAGTAAAAATTTGTTGAGAAATCTGCAAATCTGTTTCATATAATAATGTATCATTGAAAATGAAATTGTTCATGTCGTACGTTTGTTCGCACTGGCACCCATATATAGTGGTATTCATAAGAATTGGCAGTAGCTCTTACAACTTTCAGTTTTGACCATAAACGATTGCAAGAAGTATTTTCTATTTAAAATCAAATTATTTATTAGAAAACGTTCAAATTAACCGAGAAGAAAAACTTCTGAATATATTTTACAACAAAATTTTCTCAGTGACATCTATATGATAAAAATTGATCTAACAATCAGGACCGACTTGAGCTCCGTGGCTAGTACAGGTGGCTCAGACGCATCAACTTTTCGAGAATACCAAGATAACGTCTCGATTCTACCAGTTTTAACAGATTTCAAAAATATTCACTCGTTTTGAAACGATACATCATGATATAACACTTTCAAAAAACAACTGGCGATAGTTATCACGTATGGGTGATTACCGTAGTTGTCTCGTTATCATTATTAGTTTCATTTGAATTTTTGAGTAATAATTTTATGCTTTTTAGCTATAGATTGTACACGAAAACATGCCGATCGTGTGCTGTGTATTGCATAGTAGATTTAGAGTACGTTCGAACGCAACATTCATCCATGTTCATTGTCCTGCAACAATTGTTGTGAACAACAAGAACTATAATCATAATCGAATGAAAACCAGTTTTTAACTCATGCTTGAGAGAAAACATAGTTACATGAATTGAAAAAGAGCTGTTTTGTTTTAGAAAACTTAATCTAATTCTAGCCCTATGGTTTTTGTCTATACTGAATAATACATTGAGGTTCTTACTCAAGTACATCTATATGTTCGATTTTTAGGCTTTTATTGTGTTGTGTGATTTACTATGATATATGAGAATTTGCATAAGCATGTTTTCATCTGCAATTTATTTCTAAAAAGCGCCATAGTAATGGATGTACCAAAAGGAATAGATCTTTCAACATCTTACTGACATTTCTATTAAATTTTCTTTTTTCAGACCTAATTTTTTTTAAAGATCTGTCATTTTATTCTCTGAAGGAATCTATATGTTGTATTTTATTCAAATATAATTTGTATTTGTTATAGAATGAAAAGAAAATATCTTCGGAAAATAGGTTTTTGCAAGTACGAAGATGGTAATGGTCCGACCAAGATCTTGTTTAATTTAAGTAGCTCCTTAGGACCTAATGCTATTAAAAGATAGTCTAAGATAATATCCGTGAAACCTGTTCTATCTACCTGTTGACTTTGCGGCGTACACCACATATTGCTCGAGCAGGTAAAATGATTCAAAAGACCAATCACTGACTGGAACAAGAAAATTAAGTATCAGTTCGCAATTTGGCTAAGGAATACGGCATATTCAAATCAAGCACTCATTGAATACTGAAAGATAATCTAAAACTCCATGTCTATCAGAAAATACTTGTACTATGACCCACTGAAGAACAAAAATAAAAACGAAAAAAAAATTGCAATTTGGATCGGTCGAACGAATCTGGGCGATCAAATCGTTCTAAAGTAAATGAAAGAGACAAGGTTAAAAATAAACGAAAGTTTCCTCTAAATATCATGGTCTTATTAGGTGGTTGCTAAAGGAAGTGACATCGACGGTCACTTTTGGTCAAGGAACAGTAGATCATGCTCAATACATCTAGAATATATTTCCAGTACCAGTAAAATACGAAACAAGACCTTCGGTGAAAATTGGGCATTTGAACAAGACGGTGCAAAACTTTACATTCATCATTTAACGCAATAGTTGTGCCAGGACAACATTCTATATCTCACAGACAAGAATCATTGGCTACCAAATAGTCTAGATTTAAATTCATTGAAATATTATATTTGGTATGAGTGTGCTTAATCCATCGGTTGATAAAAAAGTAATATCGAAAGAAGCACTAATTCAAGAATTCGAACATAGAGCCAAAAACAATTCAACAAGATGTAGTTTTACATTTACATTAATAAGAAGAATATCATTTGGTAGAGAATTATAGACGAATCTTTAAAAATGCAAACCCTAAACATATGAATACAAACAAACATATCATTAAAATACAGAGAGGTTCATTCTTCCTGGGATACTCGTTTCTATTTGAGAATTTAAACGCTACTAACAATCGTAGCATTATAGTCACCACAAAAAAATCGATTTCAACCACAAATCAACAATAAAAGAAACAAATTTACAGTTTTCTCAACAAATTCGAGTTGTTTTTAGACTGAAAATTGTCAATTAGCTTGACCACCGTCTGTTCGAAAATCAAAAATATCGAAATGAGGAAAACTTAACCAGCAAAATGAACTTTTTATTTGTGGTGTAATACCAATATTATAACAGAAGTTATATGTAGGTCAATAGATATATAAAGAAAAAGATTTATAAAAACTGTTACTTTTTTTTTTTGTTCGTTCCACAACTTGAAATGATGAACCATCTAAACATTCCATTGCATTTATAATATCAGGGTGTCCGGAAAGTTCGTAGAACTGTATCCTAATTGCATGTATGAAACGCTTAGTTCATGTTATTGTGCAAAAAGTGAATTTTCAACATGGCATAGATCTTTTTCTCGACTGATTGTATCATTTTGTGGAAAGAATTAGTTTTCACAACCGTGTCTATCAAAAAGAATTAGTTGAGCGGTCGAAAATAGACAACGAAATAAATGGTACCAAACTTCAATAAAATGCATTTCTAGATTTTAAAAATCATTGATAATTTCATTTCAAGGTTATTTGAGTACCACTCGATATCATCATAGGATGAATAACGGAAGCAAAAAGTGGCACGTATCGCTACCGAAAGAGAAATATGTGTAAAACGAAAGAATAAATACTTTCGAAAATAT